TAGGAAAAATGATTCAAAGTTATAATTCATGGAATTGAAGTCTAAACATGCCAATTGGGCTTAAAATTGATGATTAAAAATAAAAAAATTTCTAGGGTTAGAAGTGAGGAGACATTCGATCGAATTCTTGATTTTTAGGGTTTTTGATCCTTTATTTGTTTTGATGATTTATCACTTGATCATGTGTTAATTAGGTATGAATTAATGATTGAGTGTGAAAAATTGCATTGAAAATGAATAATTTTCATTAAAGTTCTTAGGAACCCATTCGGCCTAAAACTTGTGATTTTAGGATTTTGATTCACTTGCTTACTTGATAAATTATTGGTTAATTAGAGTTTATCAAACATGAATTGATGATTGAGAGTGAGAAATTTCATAAAAATTAAAGAATTTTACCTAATTTAGCTTAGGCCCAAATTCGGCCCAATTGAGAAGAAAATTAAGGTTTAAGTGTTTTTGAATTGTTAATGGTTTAATTAGTCAATTTGGAATTAAAGTAATGTAAGGGGATGAATTAAGATGAGAAATGGCATTAAAATTGGAAATTTAGGTTAGGTTACCTTAATTAGGGTTTCGACCCATTAAGGCCCAATTAAGGCTTATGCATATATTATGCTAATGATTGCTTAATTAATTATGTTCTAAATATGATAATGTAATTAAATGAGTTAATTTGAAAAGTTAGTCTTAATATTGAGAAAGATTAACCAACCTAAGTTTAAGGCATATGCGACCAACTTTTGAGAAATTAGGATTTTTATTTTGATTTATATAACCTTATGGTGATTTGGTTCTTTGATGCCCATTTGATGTGTTTATGATGTAGGCAATTTGTGATGTTGATGATTATGGAAGTGTATTTCCTTGTGTTGTGTGATGATATTATTGTTTTTAATATTTTGGATTGATTCTAATGAGGTAATGTATATGGTGCATTTTATGTTATTAAATTATGCATTATCATGACATAAATGCATCTCACTCATAACATATATTTCATAAAATTTAAATGATTATGCATTTTCATTAAAATGCATATGCATGCCACGTTTATTAAAATGGTTCAAAGTCATGGAAAAGAGGATTTTATGTCAAGGTTTTTCCAATAGCAATTGGAAACATTTTATGGTTATATGATTTTCATGGCTTTCATGGTTTTAATGAGGGCTGCATGGGTTTTCCATTCCATTCATAGTTCATGGTTTAGGGTCGGGTAAGTGCGGACGTACACTTTTATAGATTCGGCGGAGCGTGTCCACGAGTTGGATCCGGTTCGTCGGACATATTATGAAAACCTTGAAATGCCTATTATGGGACATGTCCAAAGATAGAAAAAGTTTTTCAAAGCTGATCATGACAAGGGTTTTATGACAAGACAAAGGATTTATAAGGAACATGCAAATGATTTTCATATGCATTTCATTTACATGCATAAGTTAACTTACCGAGCTGTAGCTCACTTGTTTTCTTATGATGTAGATAACATCAATAAAGATGATGATGTTCACATTTGAGCTGACTACCGAGGGGACGGTGCATTGCGTGTATGTTGGATGTTGCTTGGAAGATGAACCTCGTTCACACTATAATTGTTTTCGTTCTTGATATTTTATTTTATTTTACGGGTATGGTATCTTTCTTTTATATGATAGTCAAAGCTATGAAAAGTGAGTAATTAGTTAAGAAGAAAAAGGATATACTAAATAAGTCATTTTTGTAGTATGTGACATAGAACTGGTATATGTAAATTAAAGATAGCTCGTATGTTAATCAAAATATCAATAGTAAAGTAGTAGTATAGTCATAGTTAGTGTAGTTTTTTTTTTTTTTGAGTTATTCCTTTACATGTTAGCATCAACGGTAAAATAAGAACAACGAAGTTAATGAGATAATAATCATAATAAATGTTAATTAATGAGGATAAAAAGGAATCAATTACCAAATAACGGGTAATAATTAAATGAATTTATACAAACTAATAGAAAAGAATTTGAGAAAATTGAGTATCACGAGATCCGAGTCATTTTAGTCCAAATAATTTAAATAAAATGATAAAATGCAAAAAAATTATAGGGCACTTTGGGCTGAAATCTAAGACCTACTTGTTATTATTTGGTTTTTGTAGCTAATTCCCTACCTAAAATATCATAATAATGACATAGTGTCTTGTTAGATTACATTCATTGTACTTTGAATGTAGATCAACAATGGTAATGTTCTTAACATACGAGGTCCTAAGTTGGGGATGTTACAAACGTGGTATCGGAGCAAGGTTTTGTTGAAAAGTGATGACGAAGCACATCGAAGATACATGGGTGGTGACCTTCGATAACCGGTAAGTATGTTTGATGAATGATTATTATGATTACTCAATGTATTTATGTGAAGAATGTGAATGGCATGATAATGTGCTTGTAATTAAATGTTATGTATATGAAATCTTATAAGTTAATATGACATGAACGACTTAGTTTATGTTATTATGTTCGTAAATTAAGAAAAAGAAAACCATGCCACCAAAGAGAGTTGTTAATAATAACATTAGTAATAATGTAGGATTGAGCAGAAGGTCGATAGCCGGGAAAGATAATTGATGGAGGTCATTTAGGAGGTAGTAAAAAATGATAAAGCTACGACGGGAAAGGCATGAGGACCGGTTATAAAGGATTCTAGAAATGAGTCGACATGCCCAACTAAGGCTCATCCACCTTAGAGAGCCGAAATAGTAGAATGTTTCCAAAGATTCAATCCAAAAGAATTTAAGGGTGGTCTAAACCCTAATATCGTGGAAGAATGGATTGAATCCATGGAAGTTTTTTTGACCACCAATCATGTGGCATGTGCGACCTTTATGCTGATTGGTAATGCCCAAAACTAGTGGGAGACCATGAAGGCATCTCTCGAGGGAACGGGACTTAGAGTCAATTTAAGAGGCTTTTTAATGAAAAATAATTTTAAGACATGGTGAAATCCCAAACAAATTCAAGAATTTCTCCAATTGACGCAAGAGGATATGTCAATGACAAAATATGTTCACAAGTTTGAACATGGATGTCGTTATGCTATTTTTATCGTTGACAATGAAGAAAAAAAGGAGCATTTTCTTCACGGACTAAGAGTAGAGATCGGGAGTTTTTTTTAATGTCAACGGATACTTATAAGAATATGGTGAGAAAGGCACTCGAGTTGAGATAGACCAAAGGGAGTGTATTCGCATGCCACCTCTTGGTGTGAAAAAAGGGGAAAATACTCCGAGCAGATTTGAAAGTCGGTTTGGTAGAAAAAGGCCCCTTGCTTTGAACGAAGGGGGGATAATAAGAAGGGTAAGGCACTAGCAAGGCCCTAAGGATGGCGAGAGCGGGGAACACCGAAGTTTCCTAAATGTGATTGTCCGCATACTAGAGATTGTTTAATGGGCACGAACGTGTGTTATTTCTATTGAAAAGCAAGACATTTAGCTAATAATTGTACGAAAAGGAGACCGACCGAAGGGTGACGCATTCTTGGATGTGTATACACGTTGACATAAGAGGAGGCCAACAAACGGGACATTAATGTTATATTTTGTAATTTTTTGATCCTCGATCTTATTGCATATGCATTGGTAGATTCGAAATTAAAAGTAGAAGGACACGATTAAGACATTTGAAACGAGTTAAGGGATATACTAGATCTTTAACCCATTAAAGAATCAATCACATATTTAAATAAAAATATTATCAAACACATACACACACAAAGAACACAATTGCATAATATGGAGGAAAAAAAAAGGTTTAGTGTTACATGACTACTCTTCTTGTTGGGGTTGGGATTGGGGAGCTAAGGGGTGTTACACGATTAAATCTGGATATGAGTTTACATCTCGCACGTAAACATTGCTCATGGTTTGGCAATTAGAGATGCTCGCCTAGCAATGTAGTCCGCTTCTATAAAGGGATGACCACTTCTCCCATGTGTTAAAGCTCTAGCGAGGGTTAGGAGACCATGTTGCACATTCTATTGCATATGGGCTAGGTTATTTGACAACAACTCCATTACTTTGTTCTATTACTACTTTTATTTATTTTTATTTATTATTTTTATGGTTCTTGGAAAGAATGGTTTCATAATAATGATTTCTACACCAATATTTGTTGGAACAAACGTTGCCATTTTATCCTCTCATGTTGGTTTATTTGGTGAGTAAAAAGTTAAGAAGTTATCTAAGATTTTGGTACTACATTTGGTGATCGACCACATGTGGTCAACTGCTACAATTGATGTATTCCTTCATTCATGACTTTGTGTTAGCTTTTGACACTCCCTCACCGTCAATTGGAGAAATTTTTGAATTTTTACGGGATCTTATCGTGTCTAAAAAATATTTTTCATTAAAAAGCTCTTTAATTTGACTCTAAGTCCCGTTGCCTCGAGAGATGCCTTCATGGTCTCCCACCGGTTTTGGGCATCACCAATCAGCATAAAGGTCGCACATGCCACACGATCGGTATCCCTTATTCATGACTTTGTGTTAGCTTTTGACACTCCCTCTTCTAATGAATTTTCAACTTCTCGGTGTTGGATTTCTTGAAAAGCTCCCATGCCAAACTTAGTTAAATCTAGCACTAATGGTAGCATTAGTTCGTCTAATTGTGTAGGAATATGCAGGCTTCTTCGCAATAGCCATGATGTTTGAAAGATTAGTTTTTCAAGTTACATTGGCCATTCATCTATAATGCCAGCTGAACGAGAGATTGTTAGAAAAGGACTCACCCTTTCATGAAATTAGGCATATGGAAAATTAATTATGGAGGCTAACTTCTAAGGAACAGTTCATGCTATTAGTAACAAAAACTTGCATTTTGATTTTCATTGCTTTATGTCAATACTAATAGATTCTCTTCTAACCATATTAGTGAAGAGGAAAACCATGAAGCTGGTCTTCTTGTTAGAATGGGTTCTTCCAGTAACACTTGTTTCTAGATTTGGCATCAATCACCTCCAGGTCTTCCAAGTTATAATGCCTTCAACACCGCATCAGATGTTCCATTCTTAAACAGCAGGAGATTCATCTGCTCTGCTTTAGTATATGATATAGGGTACACTTCTCTTATCCCACAGACCTCACCCGTCTCTACCCTGAGGGACTAGAATCCCGGCAAGTTTTCTTTATCCTTGCGGGTTGCACCATGGGATCTCATATCCCACAGCTACCTATTAAAAATTTGATCACCAATCCTTACCCACTGTTAGATGTGGCAGTGGACTGCTACATTTGAGACTATGCGTTCATGATAAAATGCAGGGAAACCAAGCACAAAAAGGTATTGAGATTACAAATCATTCATATGGGGTGAAGAGTTCTCGATCATTCGCTAGGTGGCCGAAAAATGTCAGCACTGGCTTTTGGTAAAAGATAACACATGCCGCCTTTGTACTTCACTAATTACAACCTATAAAAGATCGTGCAGCAATTTACTTGTACAAGAAAACAAGTGGAGATCTGGCCCAAAAGTTTCCCTGAGGTACAGAGTGGATAGAATGGCATTGCTTCTGTTCCAAATTAACAATCCAAGTAGTTTCCATTAGCCAGCCTTCTTATGCTTGAAAGCCACACTATGAGCTCAATTACAGTAAAGCAGAACATGAAAAGGTAGATTGATAGGGAAGTTTAGTTGGCTTTGTAAGCGTACATGTACGTTCTCAGTTTTCTAACTTCTTCAGATGACTCAGTCAGTAGATGGTCGACATAGAGACAAACGCCAGCTCCACTGCAATTTCAAAATGAGTGTATTTATAAGTAAACTACTAATTAGATGTTATAGATAAGAAAGCCAAGAACAGCTATACGCACCTAAGAGGCCCAAATGGAAGCCAGATGACATCCCACCGGAATCTTGGCATTCTATGGCACAAATAAGTATCATCATCATGTAAGAAACAAATTCTAAGTATATAGCACACAAGAACATATTACTTAGACTGCATACTTCACCCTAGCAAAAAACAACAACAATTCATGAGCAAACCTCATGGTTGGCATCTATTTCATTTTTATTTTTGTCCAATCTCTGATGAATGAAGAAATTGCAAACAAGCCAAATAACAGAGATGAAAACAACAGAAAAGAAGGTATTTCATCAGCAAAGAAAAAAAAAAGTTCCCTTCATTTCCTGACCACTGAGTAACGGGAAAGTTAATTCACAATATTGTTAACCTTGACATAAAATGCAGAGACAGTAACACACATAATAGATATGTACAGAGCCCCACGTACCTCAGCATGTAATATAACCAGAAAACTGCCAGTAGAAGCCCCGCCAAGCATGAATACCAGATCCATTGCCTGTGATATTTGGAATTATGAAGAAGCCCTATGATGGCCAATGAGCATGCTGAAACAGCTATCCAATCTGTTTAAGGGCTAAAATTAGCAAAATAACATATCTCAGAAGTAATAGCAATGACGAAAAAAAAAAATCAATCAAGAATATCAACATCAGGCATAGCAGATTTTGACACTTTGAACAGCAGATGTTATAAATTTAAGAATACACACTGGTTATATTACATGTTACTCGTATGATGGCAATATACAGAGTAGCATAAATGCATGTGGACCACGTGGAGGGATATTACACATCCATTTTAACAATAATTTGGCATTTAAGACAGCATAATCAATGATGACATATCTCAACTCTTCATGCAGTAGCACTGATCTAGCTTCTCCAACAACCAATCATAAGAAGTTTGATTTATTCTTGTCATAGTTTCTCCAGCACTTGCCCTATTCATTTCAAAGTATAGCCTTGATGATGTTATTTGTAACATAAATCAATGGAAATATAACATAAGAAGTAAACAACACTGGATCCAGTCTGCCTTCAAAGGGAAAGAGAGAAACCACCTTTGTCACAATTAATTTATCTGGAACAATGAAAACAACATTTATACAAGTTAGGTGATCAAAGGAGAAAAAGAAATGGGCATTTAGAAAATACTGAGTCCAAAGTGATTTTCAGACAAGGAAAAAAAGCAACTCCTGAGAAAACACAGAGGCACAATTTCTAACTAAGCCTGCGTATCTGAATTCTGAAATAAAGACATGGTGTGTGAATGAAGAAGTAGCTGTAATCTACTAGGTATTAGATCAAAGAATATTTTCCACGAACTAGAAGGGGATTGAGAATAGCAGGTCCAGAAACACGGAAAGGCTTTCGAAAAAAATTAATCTGAAAAAAAAAAAAAAAAAAAAAAAAAGAGCACCATTCTCATCAATCTCCCTCCCATGTGGAAACAAGAGAGTACATTATATGTACGAGGAAACAGATCAGCTATATGAATCATACTTGAATAAACATAGACAAGTATCAATTAGATTATATTATCAGCTGATGAGTAGCGAAAATAAGTTAAAAGAAAAAAAGGAACCTGCAAATATTACCATCCACGAATCCATATCTTCCATGAAGTAAGCATGATATCTCTATTTATTCATCAAAAAAACCAACACCACAAAGTTAACATTTACTTAAAACTGTATTGAAGGGGGGAAAAAACGAAAATAATAACTAGTAATAATCGATAGCATTTGATAATTGAGTGGTTCTTCATTACATACATACCAGATCCCACGGGGATATTGCCTGCTGGTATATAGAGTATAAAAGAAACGCAGCGTAGCAAAACACAAGTCCACCAATTACTCTCTACACAAAAATATCAATTTAGTTAATTAATTTATCAGTAATTTCAATGCAAAATTAAATGAATAACATACCCTCCACAAAACAGACTGCTCTGCTTCTGCTCTTTCCAGTGATAGAACCAACTCCTCCTGCTCTGTTTTTTTTTTTTTAACAACAAAAAAGGTAATTACTAATTAATAATCCCTGTTCGGTCGCTAAAATTTAAAAAACAAACAGACCTCCGGTGTCCATAGGATGAGAATCATAGTCTTCTCGAGTTGGAAGCGTAAATTTATCATCGTCACTAGATTTTCTCCAATTCCTCGCCAGCTTCTTCATCATCGTCGTCGTCTCCTTTCCTTCTCATTCCAGCCTGCCTTCAATTTTAACATCCTCACCCCTGCGCTGTCGTTTTATTTTGAACTTCTGCCAATTCTAGAGTGCCACATGATAGACACGTGGCATTCACTTTTCATAGCCATCCGAGACAATCTTAGCACCGATGTCATTGAATTCGATCTAGTTACTGGATTCGGTCAATGGGTCATTGCTCGAACCGCTAAGTCGCTTGCAATATAATTTAAATATATATTATTACGAATGAACCAGGAGTAAGAAATGCTGATTTAAATTAACTAAATCCAACAGAAACTAAAACAACAGTTTCCACATTCGATTAAGACTTATTTAAGTTATTCTATATTAAATATAAATTTATTATAAAAAATAGTAACAATAGTAGAATCGAAAAGAAATATGATAGAAAAATGAATTCACTATAAGACAAAATGAATATAAGAGATAACAACTTTAAATAATCTCTCAATCTTTACAAAATACTTCTACATAAACTAATTAAAAATCAAGCCTATTTATAGGCTTCAAAATTAGAAAGAGAATTGAAAGGGATTATGAATCATTCAAAGGTGCATAAATAATTGAATAAATTACATCACTCTTTCAATTTCTCATATAGAATAGTAAAAGTAATGAAAATATGAAATGGACATTTATTATTTCATAACACTCTCTCTTGAATTTCCATCATACAAGGAACATGTCTCGTTAAAACCATACTAGGAAAAAACCCAATGGAAAAAAATCATAATAAAGAAAAAAAGTATAATATTCTTTATACATATTAACCTCAATGTTGGTCTCCCCTGTTGAAAACATCATTTGAGATCTTTAAGACGATGTATTTCAATCTTATGAATCATCTTCTCAAAAGTTATGGTAGGTAATGTCTTAGCGAATAAGTCTATTGAATTATCAATTTGATGTATTCTTCTTTTAATGAAATTATGCAAGCGACATTATTTTCATATGATATTGTTAGAACTTCTTTTACCGATAGATAAACTGCATGTCTCATAGATATGATGCATTGTTGATCTTAGCCAAACATACTCTCGACTTGCCTCATGAATTGGTATTTTTGCATGGTTTGAATATCTAGTAGCTTTTGCTTCATAGAACATCATGGTATAGCTATATCATCAATTTTAAATACATAACTCGTTTTTCATCGAGTTTTGTATGGATAAGATAAATAACTTATATCCGCATAACCAATTAAATATGATTTTAATTCATTTGAGTAAAATAAATACCATATCAATTTTTCTCGAATATAACGTAAGAAATATTTAATTTCATTTCAATCTTCATATTGGAGTAGAACTACAACTTGCTAATAAATTTATAGAAAAGACTATATCGGGTCGAGTATTATTAGTAAAATATATCAATGCATAAGTAGCACTAAGATATGGTACTTCGGGACTAAGTAGTTTGTCGTTATCTTCTCGAGGTCGAAAATGGTCTTTTTAGATATCAAGTAAATGAACTACCATTGGGCAAGTTAATGAATGATCTTTATATAGAATCATTATAGAATCTTTTCTATATAAATTGAATGATGAATAAAAATCTTGTTTTTTAATGCTAGAACTATAGGTTGCGATAAAATTTTATTTTTTCAAGGCATTTCATATCAAATTGTCAATTTAGATAACTTATCGCATTTGGAATCTCTTCGGGAGTTCTAATAATATTTAAATCATCAACATATATAGCAACTATCACAAACCACTTTTCGAATTTCTTTATAAAAAGACATGAATAAATATGGTTATTTTTATAACCTTCTTTCAATAGATATTTATTGAAATAATTATACCACATGCACATAGGTTACTAATAAAGAGTAGATATTGAAAAAAATATATTAAAAGTATAGCATAAATTAAATTTATATAAAAAAATAAAACTAATACGAAAATAATCTCGATAGAGATCTATATAATTTAATTGAATTTATTTCTGGAGAATATGTATTTTATGCTTCGGGCATCTTAAGTCCTTGTAGGACTTTCATATAGATATCATTTCAACTGAACAAATAAGCTATAATCACATTCATTAGATATATGCATATGAATTTTTTCATATATTTTACGAGCCTAATGAGATAACAAAATATAATTGCATCCATTATTGGAGAATATGTCTCCTCATAGTCAATCTCGGTTCTTTGTAAAAACTCTTGTGTTAAAAATCTTGCTTTGTATCTTACAACCTCATCTTTTTTTATTTCATTTTTAAATAAATACGTATTTGTATCCCACTAGCTTAACATCTTCGAGTGTATGGGTTCAAAAAACTACTCATTTGTAAGAGAACATAATTTTGTCCGGATTGTTCTTTTCATTTAAGCCAATCATCTTTATGTCGACATTCTTCAATAAATTTAGGCTCGGGATCCTTATTTTCATTCAAAATATTAATTGCAACATTATGTGTAAAAATCTTATCAATAAATGTTTCTTTTCGGTTCTCTTTTCTCTCTACATTAATATAATTTATCAAAGTCTTTTGATTTTTCTTAAGCATTTGGACTTCTTCTAGAAGCCTATTATCAAAAATATCTTGGACCATTCTATGAATATTTACATTTTTTTTAATTATTTTCTTTTTTCTTTTAGGGATTTTTGCTTTTATAACCAATCGATCTTCCACGCTTCGGACATACTTTAGATTCATTAGCTATAACATTAATAGACTATCCTTCTAGGACATCAATTCTAATAGAAGCATTCTCAATGGAGATATGCATTTTAGTTACTCTTTTAGGATATGAGAATGCATATAGCAGTTGGTTTGTAATACCTTACAAATGAATTATCTTTTGAACTTTAGTTCATATTGTTTTGTACAAAGTTGATATAAAAATAGAATACTCCATGTAATCTCTTTTTCTAATATTTTCAACTACTTATTTTGTTTATTCTCTCCTTCGATGTTGGAAAAACTATTTCATCAAAATGATAGTCGATAAATCGAGCCGTAAAAATATCTCTTATTCATGGTTCAAGATATTTAATTATCGAAGAGAATTCAAATCTAATATTTATTCCTAATCTCCTTTAAGTGCTCATTTTAGCTCGTTATAGAGGAGCACTATGGATATATACTACGGTGTCAAAAATTCTTAAATAAGAAATATTTGACTCGTGACTATAAACTAATTGAAAGGGGAGAGAATTTCTAATAACTTATGGGTCCGATGCGAATAAGTATTACTTGGATGTAAGATTGCATGTCCCCAAACATAAACGAAATTTTTGTTTTTAAATAATGATTTAGCTATCAATCGAGCCTTTTGATAAATGATTTTACTAAACCTTTCGAGTATGAATATGAGCAACGGAATGTTTAACCTTTATTCTAATAGCCAATCAATAATAATTTAATGCTTGAGAAATAAATTCACCAACATTATCAAGGTGACTTGTTTTAATGGCATAATCTGAAAATTATGCTCGAAATTAAATTATTTACTAGCAATCTCGAAAAAATTAGGTTTTGAGTTGATAATAAACATATATGTGATCATCTTGTGGATGTATTTATTAAAATTATAAAATACCTAAATGGTCCATATGGTGGATGAATTGATCCACATATATGATCACTTTGAATACATTCCAAAAATACTAAAGATTCAATCTCAATTTTACTTGGTGATCACTTAATAATCAATTTACCTTCAAAACATGCACAACATTAAAATTCAATAGATTGAAAAATCTTTTGGCTCTTCAAAAGATGTCTATATGAATTTTTAATAATTTTTCACATCATGAAAGACCCAAGATAACACAACTGGTCATGGCACATAATAAAAGTATTTGAATTAGTAAACTTCGATTTGCTATAACATTTGTTTCAATCATTTCAATATTTGTAATAAAGGCTAGAAGAGAAAGCGGATAAATTTTTCAATACATATTTTCTCGCCTAGTATAATGATGTAATATATAAGTATTCACATTTGCTATCTTGATATGATGTCAATTTAGATGAATATATTTGAAACTCAATAAATTTCTATTAGACTTTGAAATGAATAATACATCATTTATAATAAAATTTATCCTTTCAAATAATAACATATTTGCTCTTCTAAAGCCTTTAAATTATGTTACTTAATGTAATAATATATCGACTCTTCTAGAACTTTAAAAATTTATCTATTCGAGTCATAATATAATTGCTCTTCTAGAGCTTTACGTTAATTGATATTATCATATATAATATTAACAAAAATAAATAAATAAATAAATTCTTCATAACCATAAATAAATAAATTTATCACTATCTCTATGCAATAAAAATTATAAGAAAATATAAAACATCTTATTTATAAATAGAAAAGCTAACAAGTTATTAATACCTCCATTTTGATACATAAAATTGGCTTTTATATTTTCTCTTCTTTTTCAAAGAAGTTTGATAAGCTCACGAGGTTTAATAAAACTCAATGAGGTGTTTTGGTGTATGATATATACACAATCAATGTCAATTCATGCCACATTTATAGCATTCATTTTTAAATGCCGACTTGATCTATTTTTATTCTTTTTTTCATAGTTACCCACTTCTCATGGTGAGATGTATTATTATGGTCATCATGATTATAATGATAATTATTCCAATCACGTCCATTGCTACGACCACATCTTCATCCATGCCCAAAATTATTATAAGTTATCACATTTACTTCAAAAAATGAAGTAGATCCAATTGGACAAGATTTATTCATTTACATCAATAGCTTATCATTTTATTTAACCATGAATAAGTATGAAATCGATTCAAAATATTTCTTAAACTCCTTTTCTTAATATGTTATTGCATGAACATATTAGAGACATGAAAAGTAGACGATATTAACTCAACATCAAGCACTCATGATCAATAATTCTTGTCCAAAATATCAAAGGATACAAAATCAAGTTTTATGATAGTCGATATCATAAAAATTTTATATTGTA